AGCGGGGAAGCAAAACACCCCAGGCCCTGGCATCGGTTCCTGTGTTTGCCCAGCCTCCTGCTGGGGCTTCCTTCTGCCCGAGTCTCACCAGCAGCTTTGTTCATGGGAGCTCAGTTTGCTGCCGAGACCCAGGACAAGGGGAAAACCTGAGAGTTATCTCAGTGGAGAGCCTGATGGCAGGGAGAAGGTGCAGCCACACTGACTGCTCCTTCTCCCACCCAGGTGGCACCCTGCTAGCCCCCGGGGCTGTGGCTCCAGGCTTCCTTAGCCAAGGACTCAGGCCTTCTAGGTGCAGGTCTGTGCCCCAGGACGGGAGGGAGGAGACCCTCCAGGCAGCAGGCACAGACCTGCAGCGTGTCCCTGTTCCCTCCCACAGACGGGATCCACAGCGTGACGGCCCAGTGCGTCCTGCGGGTGATCATCATCACGGAGGACATGCTGGCCAACAGCATCACGGTGCGGCTGGAGAACATGTGGCAGGAGCGCTTCCTCTCCCCGCTGCTCTCCACCTTCCTGGAAGGGGTGGCCACCGTGCTCGCGACGCCCAAGGAGGACATCTTCATCTTCAACATCCAGAACGACACGGACGTGGGCGGCACGGTGCTCAACGTCAGCTTCTCGGCCTTGGTGCCGCGGGGCGGGCGCTACTTCAGCTCCGAGGAGCTGCAGGAGCAGCTGTACATGAAGCGCATGGCGCTGACGGGCGCCTCCATGCTGGAGGTGCTGCCCTTCGACGACAACGTCTGCCTGCGGGAGCCCTGCCAGAACTACATGAAGTGCATCTCCGTCCTCAAGTTCGACAGCTCAGCCCCCTTCATCGCCTCCCCCTCCACCCTCTTTCGGCCCATCCACCCCATCACCGGCCTGCGGTGCCGCTGCCCGCAGGGCTTCACTGGGGACTACTGCGAAACGGAGATCAACCTCTGCTACTCCAACCCCTGCCTGAACGGCGGGATCTGCACCCGCAAGGAGGGGGGATACACGTGCGTTTGCCGACAGCACTTCAGTGGTGAGCGCCCGGAGCTGGAGGCCGTGGGGGGACGGGTGTGCAGGTCCATTGGTGGTGCTGTCACCGTGGTGGGGTGCTCTTCCCAGCAGGGTTGCCTGCGGAGGTCCAGCTCTGCTTCTGGCTCTCCGTGTTTCCATGGTGCTGGATGTGCAGGGTTGAGGTTGCCATAGAAATCTGTCTTTTAGGGGAGGTGGCTTGGAGGTCTCTCAGGGACTCTGGCCACCAACTCGCAGCCTTTTTCACGGAGCAGCAGGGCCAAGCTGGACTGTGCCAGGCTGTGGCATGGGAGGCTCCTCAGCCCTGCCCCATGCCAGGGGGTGATGGACTCTGGGAGCATCAGAGGTGCTGGCTTCAGCCTGTGCCAGGCTTGAGCTGGTCTGGCAGAGCTGTGGGGCCCACACTGGCCCCACGTGCTCCCCAGAACAGAAGGGGAGGCTGGGCCTAGCTGCCCCCCTCAGCAGGATCTGATCCAGGCTGATCTGATCCTAGCCATGGGGAGAATCCCTTGGCTGGCCGGTGGCTTGTTGCCACAAGTCCCCAACAGGCTGTGGAGACCCATGCTCAGCAACTGGCAACTTGGGCGTGAGGGAAGGTGGCCTG